TGGGGACCAGGTTCTTTATGAAATTAGATAGTGGGTGGTTGGAAAAGTCGACCACAGATCGACCTTGGCACTGACCCAGTAGTGATTTGTCCTTAGAATGGCGCACAGACCACACTCTAAGCAGCGGGTGTGGAAAGACCACATCAAGCACTGCACCATCTTGGGTACTGTATACTCGAGCACAGGAGGGTACCTTTTGGAACTTTGCCGAGACCGATTCCGAGCTCCTCCACGCATAATAGTACTATTCAAGATACTTCATTTTGGGGAGCCGACATACTAATCAGTCACATTGAGTATCCCTGCCTCAACTGCAATATCCAATCACTTTCTTCATACCATTGCAGAACTAGTCACATATCACACTTATAAGATAGTCCAGGGCACTTGTTCCGACCGAGCTCGACCCATTAGGTTGAATTGCAAGATTACTCTGTACTCAACGCAATACCTCCCCCTGGACGTGAGTTTTATTCTTGTTCAGGACCGTGAGCGTAAAAACATGAGCGTTTCAGTTGTGGCTTTCCTGCCTGTAAGACAGGGCTTATGCCTCGTACTAGGCAAAGCCCCGTTCACAATGTTTTACCGAGAGTGAACCCCACTCGCCCTCAGCAAGAAAGTCATCAATCACGGTTGATGTTTATATATAGCACATGTGGCTTATAAGAGAATACACCACCGTTCATTCCACCCAACATGTCCCCTGTTCACCTACGGCATCGGGTATTCGTAACGCAACCCTTGTCGGTGCAATGGCCCATCCGGACGTTTTCCCTCGACTCATGTATAATGTAGGGCTCTATTGAGCAGCACCCCTTTTCTGTTAGTCATTCGGATCACGGACGAGTTAAATCGCAATTCACATGCCAAACAGGGTATGACCTCTTTAGTCACCATCAAATAGGAACTTTGCAAGGAGATAAGAAATTATTCTCAACATTACCTTCTTCTTCCCCATGAACCGGATAGAATGTGAGCACGAGTAGGCATTAACCCATTAAACCCATAGTCATCCCAAATCAAAACCGTCAAAGTTAGACTTTTTTTCCCGTAAGAAGCTTTACTGGTTTGATGATACCAAGACTGATTTTATCACTACTCCCTATCGGCAAAAGATACATGACCAATACCAGAGACCTCAATCTCAATAAATTCTCCAACCGAAACTCATGCATCCCTTTTTGATATGAGAAACAGAATAAAAAGACAGGAGGGATAAAAGGAAAAACAGTACTCAAGAGGGAGGACTCAAACTTCTGCAGTAACGACCTGATTATTAGTCCTTACGCTTCCCGATGATTACCACCCCTATAAATGATCATCCATGCATCTCGAAAGCTTCCTTCTAGCTCGCGATTCAACGAGTGGCTATTGTACATATGGGCGTGCAACGAGATTCGTTAAGTCTTGTAATGAAAATGACAACACACGCAGAAGTGACGACCCTAAATAGTCAGCTTTGAGGGGCCCTTACGAAAATCTCGTCCTTACTCAACCCCATAGACTCACCCTTGCTATATTTTGCCATTTAGAACTAACACGTACCTTAGTCATCCTCGTTCGAACTAGTACTTCGCTTACGCTGTCATTCGTCTCATGTAAGCGAGAAAACACCAAGTCGCCCGTACACCATCAGGCTTGGCTTAAACCTACAGAGGAAGATCATGTCACTCACTCCTAATACAACCAAGTCTGTGACCCTTTTCTTCTCCAGATCATAGAAACGTGAAACCGAACTAATGGAACTGCACACGGTAGCCACTGTCTTTTTGGCGCGGGCTGTCTATTGAGGGTGGACGAGTTGATCTCACAGTACAAACCTGCACGTCTCACTCGTCTCTTATGCTGTTGACTCAAGCTAGCTGACTGACCAAGAATGTTCGGCGAGATGAGTAAGTCCTGACTTGGAAAAGACGTTCCATCGGGAAGGTCAAGGATCATTCATAAGGGGCAATCGGTGCCGATCGAAATCAAGGTATAGTTCACTCCACTCATCTTCCTTGCACTCGCTTACCACTGAGCTGACTTCTTCACTGGTAGTAAGTGCATCGAAACGTTTTCTGACAGAGGTCGAGCAAACAAACACATGCTAGGGGAGTCGTGAGAAGCTAATGGCGTCACTCACACTGGACAGCGTTCTTCCACACTCTCGCCTCTCTCGCGTCTACATTGCTTTCTCTCTCTCTTCCTCTCCACCCCCTTCCTCCTCTGCTGAGAACCAGCCTCGTCGCATTACTATTAGCATCAACCACCACTCAAAATAGCTCAAGCGAAGTCTCTTCTCTCTCTCCCTTTTCGCAATACCTCCCTTTCCGCACGGTCTCTGAAAACTCGTGCGCAGATCCTCCCCCCCTCTTTTACTCGCTCCTTCAAGAAAGGTATATCCGTGGTCACGAACCCACATGAATTGATAACTTCCGTGGTTGCAATGATGAGAAGAAGAGAACAGCGTCTGAGCACAAGTCAAAAAAGACAGTGTGCTTCTAACCACAGCTATCAACAACAACCTTCGCCATGAAGATGGTCCAGTCATCTTCCGTAGGTATTTTTTTTTTTCCGATCATCCATATCCGTGCCCCTATATCCGCTTATCTTTCACTTAGAGACCCTTCGTCAAGAAGAATGACGTGTTGACCCAGAGCCCTTCTTTCTTTCGTTCTCTCCCATGTTTTCACGTGTCCTACCCTGTAACGGCCTCTCCTTTTCATCCCGTAACTCCGGTCTGTTCCCTGTCTCAAGTTGGTCACAGGCCCTTTTGTTGTCGCGAGCTGGCTTCCGGACCGTCTTCTACAGGTCCCGCTGGCGGATGGTCCTGCCTCCATTGGTGTAGTCCATGCCAGGACTGGGTCGCGGCCTCCAGGTCACTCGCGTCACTTTCAGCCTCGGTATCGTGATCCAGGTGTTGCTGTTCCCGATCCACTGTGTCCGTGGAGGTCCCCTCGTCCAGGTACATGACAATCACCCTCATCTCGTCCGTGACCCCGTCCTGTCTGCACCTCCTTTCTGCGCGGTCTCTGGCCTTAGTAATCGCCATCTGCAGGTCTGGGTCCACCCTCATTTCTTCCTCTCTCCTCCCTTCTACGTTTATCTGCAGCTTCAACTCCCGTCTGCCGTAGTTGTAGTCTAGTATAGCCGTCACTGTAGGCCCTTCCCCCGACATCTGCTCCCACTTTCAGCGATGCTGGAGGCGCTTTGGCCTATAGCCATATAACCCGCTGCCGCGTACCATGGCCTAAACTTATCCCGGAGTAGGCCGAGCGAGATATCGGGCTGCCAACTCCGAAATAGACAAGACCCGACGTTCTTCAGTGCACACGCACACAGACGAGTTTGCACACTCACTTCGACATCCGACTCCCTCCACAAACTTACTCGCGATCGCGATGCGAGACCGCCTACGCCTAGTAGCAATTGACATCCCCCTTTCCTCTTTATAGGGTCACTGTCTGTCGCGACCCCCACGCTCTAAATGAGGGACCCAAACACCCTCTTCTTAAAATTTTATAACAATAAATTTAAATAAAAGTAAAAATATTCACTTTCCAAAATTTCCTTGAGGCATGTTTGAATAAAGAAAAGACAGCGGGGCCGAGACCCCAATGGTCGCCTCGGAGGTGAGGTGACCCAGACTGAACGCAGCAGTCTCATAACGGGATGCCGCCGATCGCTTTCCTTCTTTCAAAACGTGCCGCTGATCTACCCATGATGGGTACTCGTGTCCGATGGTAAGGAGGGGGCTTATGACCCTCCACAGGGGTGATAAGCCTCCTACCGATGCGGCCGCGGGTCGCCCCTCTTTTGAGGTCCTACAGCGCGCCCAGTCGACAGGTCGAACCCCAGGGTGATGAACGAAGGGTCGGCCAGCCTAGAACGCCAGGCTGCGCTCGAGGTTCGAAAATGAATCGTTAGCGGTTCACAAAACGATAAAACGAGAAAATCGAACAAAAGGATCCAGTAATAATAATAACAACAAAATAAGAAAAGAAAGAAATCATAACGCCACCGTGGCCAGTGACTAGCAGTTCGTCCCAAACAAAAGCAAGGGTCCAGATCTGCGCTCGAAATCAACACTTGACTTCGTTTTTCTCTTCTTATCCCCCTTTTTCTTTTCCTTTCTTTTTCTTTTACCCCTTTTCTGTTCGACTGTAACATCGACCCTACGTACCCCATAACCCGGTTAGAGGGCACTCGGCGCGCAGTAGAAAAGACCGTGTCGATCCCTCTATCTTTGCGTCCTTGGGCGAACCTGACGGCTACTAGGACCACAGGCCGGTATTGCTCTGCTGTACAGCAGGGCGCCGAGCCTGCGTGGACCAACGGAAAGCCAAGTGGCGCACCCGTTTTGCTGAGGGCAGGCACCAACTGGACCGGTCCATCGCAAGATAAACTGCGGGAACTACCCGACGAGCCGCGGGCATCTGAGTTGGGGACAGGTACTGAGCCGAAGCCTGGTACACAGGAGGGCCGGGACACCGCGCCCTCCGACAACATATATGAGGCCAGTGGGATTGAACGCTGCCCTACTCTCCACACGTCCAAAATGAGTAGTGCAGCGAGGCCCGTAGCCTGAGCCGAGCCAAGCCGGGCCTAGCCGGCCCAGTTGGCGAGGCTGTGTTGATGGCCTTGGGGCGCTGGCCACTCGCTCGCGAGATTCTCTTCTCCACCGGCAGGATGGCGTTTGTCCGGTCTTTATGTCCTTGTGCTCTAGCTAGTTTTTGTCTGTTGTGCATGCGGAGAGTGGTGCAACGAGGCCCGTAGCCGAGCCGAGCCAAGCCGAGCCGGCCCAGTTGGAGAGGCGATGTGTTGATGGCCTTGGGGCGCTTGCCCCTCTGCTCGCTCCAGTTGGAGAGGCGATGTGTTGATGGCCTTGGGGCGCTTGCCCCTCTGCTCGCTAGATTCTCTTCTCCGGCGGCAGGCTGGCGTTTGTCCGGTTATTGTCCTTTTTATGTCCTTGTGCTCTAGCGAGTCCCTGTTGGGCCTGCCTGGTATACATACTGCCAGGCGCACAGGAAACGGAGCGCCGGTCAATTGATGGGGAGGTATTAGGCGACACGTGGCCAATCTCTCTCTGCGGGTAAGCTCCCCAGCAGGTGTCATCGCCTCCAGCCTGTCATTCCTGCTCGTATCTGTATGACGTCTTTTCCCGGTATTAGTGGCAGTGACCCCCCCCTGAGCTTCACCATCGCCCGCCTCGATTTCTTCTCTATCCATAGCTATTGTTTGAGTACTGTTATCTCCTCTTCTACCACGTACACTCCTCCCGGTTGGTCTCCTTCTTGTCCGCGCTTCTCCGTCCATCATCTGGGTCCGTCGATTTAGGCTCCTTCCCGTCTGCTGGTTCACTTAGGTAGGTACTACGAGCCCTCTGTCCCATTCGACCTGAATGGTTCACCGGTTCCAATCTTAAAAATGAATCCAAAATTTTTGAATATGGTAGTCAAAGAAATTGGCGAACGGTCACGAAAAAAAACAAGTGTAGTTTTTACTCTTATATGTGGTATTCATTCTTGTTTGACTCTTGGATTGAGATCTACAGACTCTCGAAAAACTAGTTTCTTCTTTTTTACCACATTGCCTACTTTATTCATCATCTGGGTCTTTATTTATCTATCTGTCTATCTATCTATCTATCTATCTATCTATTTATGTATGATGGGAAGACCGTCAAGCGCGTGTCGAGACGAATATGCACCGCTCTGATTGGTTGGTTGTTCCATTAGACGGAGGTTGTTAAGTTACAATGTTTGCGTGGGGATCGTTTGTTCACTTACACTTGCGTGAATCTTCCCCTTTCACCCCTTCCCTCCCGCTGTCTCTCTCTCTCTCTCTGTCTGAGGCCCCCCCCTCCCC